GAGAAAATACAAGTAGGTTAAAGCTCAGTGAAATCTAAGATTCAGATCTAACCGGGAATCTAACAGTCATTTGTCAGTCATCTAGCGCGTAAGGCATAGTACGACAGGCATGCACTCAAGCTTCCATGAAGAACCCCACAATTTCAGCACTATAATAAATAATAATCAGTGTTAATCAGATGCAAAGAAAATCCAAGTGGGTGAAAGCCCATTAAAATCGAAGATACATATCACGTCGTTATGCAAATCTGGCTCGTAAATGATCGTACGACAGACAGACCGACAGACATACGGCCGGCCGGAAGCCAACCTGGAAACAGCGGCATCTTGATTTACAATTGCATCCACTTTAATTGATGAAGCCTTCCCCTGATTGCAGACAACGATAGCAAATACGGATAAATGGTTGTACGGAAGCTAAATGGAGCAAATATGGATTCACTACTTGACTTGATTTTTAAGTTACGTGACCTGACTTGGAATCAAGCCAAGCTCAAGTCAAGTATTAGATATTAGCAATATGAAATCAATTATAATAATAATTCCGGCTTTATTCAAAATTTAGCCAATGGCTACTCTTCATTCAACCCTATGAAGAAAGTAGATTATACAGGAACTTAGAGAATAAATGACTTACAAAATCAAAACGTGAAACAAGCTATATCACTCAGATTTTAAATAAGTTTTTATCTCATTATTCACCTGATTATATTATTTCACAGGGTTATATGAGATCTTCGGAATAGTGTTGAAAGGTTCCCCGCGTCTTAAATTTACATGTTTATTCTACGTATAAGCTTTTCAAATGAATAAGATTATGTGGAATTCACGATTAATTTATGTACAAAAGTGAGGTAGCGTAATTTTATACATTCAGAAAACCAATTTGTTTTAACTTTTTTTTTATACTTAAACCACCACTAAGGACTAAGACCTAAATAAGGCCTAAACACCCATTGTGTATCGTGGGGTTATTGGGGTCAAGGGGGGGATGCCATACGGACTCTTGAGAGGGAACACACATTCTCGGCCTACCTTAAATATCCGCCAGGTGGTACCTCCGCGTTCGACAGTCAGATACCGTCTACCATCTATGGACAATCACAACATCCATAGCCAAGATAAACATTTTTCTTGGGACGGGATTCGAACCCGCGCAGCGCACGGTAACTGATTAGAAGACTTTGCTTATATATGATCATATTTTCTTAGTCCATAAACAAACCGACAGAAAAAAATTTGCACTTTCTGTAGAGATATCTTCATCACACTGTCCAGACAGCTCTAATATATGGTGTCACAGAAGTGTATTGTGGGTATGACTAATGATTAGGATAAGGTTTTTTTAACATTAGTACTGAGAAAGTGTTTGTTGGCATTTAAAATTTTTATATTTTTAATAAATTAATTTTGAGTAAAATTTTTGAATAATACTGTTGATATCATTATGGAATCTCAAATTTGCATCAAACGTTACACCTAGAATATTCAATTTATCTTTGAAGACTAGTAGTTTTTACGTCTGTGTGTCATGTAATTAGTCTTGATATTACTTGATAATTTTTTCTAATACATAAATATACAACGGAAAGTCCTTATTTGTCACAAATTTCAGAGAAAACAATTCATATTGAACAAAATAATTTGTTAATCGTATAACATGTAATCAAACAACAAAAATTTCAAATTCTAAATTAGCTTGTCATTCGCTAACCAGGAGGGTCTTAACGGATTTATAGTGGGGGCAAAATTAAAAATAACTGAAGTGACAACTAACCGGATTTTGAACCAAACTCATATATTATAATATATTTTTCTCAAGTTGTGCCTGATGTACAACATGTATAATAGCTAAATGTGTATGAACATTATATTTTATTCTTGTGAAAAACATGTAAAATAGTCGTTGAGTGTTTTGAAGAAGTTTAATTTCAAATTGTTTTCTACTTATACAAAACCTGTGTATCTAAACTGTCTGTGTGCCCGCGCTATACGAAAATATACATTCCATAGATGGAGCTGCGTGGCTACCGACTTTCTCCTTGAATCTACAGCATTTCAACGGCACTACCGATTTCATGTTTTTTTGTTTTCGTATCGTGAAAATTTTCGATTTTCTACTTGATTATTTGCATAAGAATACAAAATTAGGCTCATCGGTTGTGCAAATAAATATCACTAGTAAAACAAAAAAATAATTTGCCATCAAGGAGTTTGAAAATGCATGACCTCAAGTCAAGTAGAACATTAAACAAATTAAGTCAAGCAATTTAAATTACAAATCAAGTAGTTTATGAAAATATCAAGCTACTTGATAAATCATTAGGAGCAAATATAACTAAGGTATGTGTTTTAGTTTTCATAGTAGAACCCGAACCTTCAGGTGGAACCGGTCAACCAACGCATGAATATACCCAATTAAAATAGGCATTAGACAGGCGAAAAAAAGGTTTCAAGATCCTAGCGCCATCTATGCGACACGAGCATAGTCAAATAATAATAATATTTAATCAACCACTGTACAAAACAACATAAGTAAATAAATATAAAACAAAAAACATGTCCAATAGGAGGCATTGCCTGTGCATGGACCACTGATTTCATGCTGCAACACTAGAATACAATTATAAAAAGGCAAGAATTAGACCCAGCTGATCATGCATTTACTTGATGTTCGTATTTACGAGATTATGAATTTCAGTCTTAGATATCAAATTAGCGACTTTTCCAAATTTCTGTTGAAATAATTTCTCAAATGCGAATATTATACATCTTGAGGTATAATTTCATGAAATTTGGGCAAAATGGAGATATGATAGATTTATGTGGCTGAGGAACTACTGTGCTACGAATGTTGTATCTATAATGATTATATTCAGTTTTTTGGTCGGTGTTGACAAATTTATGTCAAAATAATTCGTCAGTGTGATAAAGTTTCGTTTTTCTGAACATCACTTTTAGAATACTTTTTTGAAAACTATTTAAATTATAGAGATGTGATGAACATGAAGCTTCCGATGCTGATATACCATAATGTGAGGTGAGACTCAAAAACTGTCTGGTATAATGTACCTTTCTGTCAGTATATTCGCAAGGTACCTATTTAATTTTGTACGAAACAAATGTAACCTTCTTTAAGTATAATTGACATGGATGTTCCAACGTGAGTAAGGATCCAGTACTATTCCACGTTATTTTTATTAGTTTTCAGTTTTTGATCATTAATGTTGGAGATATCTGTCTAATTTGGCAAATGGTAAATATATGTTTTAGAACAGCTAATGCTCAATTTTCTGCTAACAAACCACCAAATGATTTTAACAAAACTATTTTCAATGACATTTTTTATATAAGACCAGTGTTTGCCTTCATATAATATTGAAGTATCATCTGCAGAACCGGTTATTTTGCCAACTCAATTCATCTGGAACTTATCGTTTAAATTTTTATTGAATAAAAATGTTCATTGTGGGTTAACACACTTGATGTACATTTCTTTGCTAGATTATCTAGATATCTGGAAAGATTGTGAGCGGTTTGATAGGTAATTTTCGATCAGTGAGTATCGTTTTTCCTCTGAAACCAATTCTCTCCAATGTTTCTAATAATAATTTAAGATTTACTGTGATGAAAGCTTTTTTAAATCGATAGAAATACAAATATAAGGCATTTTGTTATCAAGATTTTGATAGATTTGATTTAAAATTTTAATTATTGCGTCCGATATAGACTCTCCAAAGCAGATTCCTAGATTTATTTTGTGCTCTACTACTATCTCCTAGATGGCGCCAGATCTTTGAGAACCATTTTTTGGTGATCAGCTACAAGACATTAATCAATGATGAAAACAAAAATAAAGATATCGCGTCTGCCCTATTAGTAACTTTGAACCTCAGAATGTTGGTGGCCTACTCTAAGCCTACAACTGGTAAGGCGTTATTTGTGTGTTCCGCCAATGAGCTACATACAACGTGACCGATAGATTCTTCTCTCGCATGCCGAAATTACCAAACGATCAACGTCCGTCGGTTATTTCGAAAAATCCAGACTAATGATACCTATTCTTCGTCTATTCGAAAATAATAGCACATTTACCGGTATAATTGCCGCCCACTTACATTAGGTGCGCTTCTTCCAACATTCCGCAATTTTTTTTGCTAGACGGTCTCTTGAAACCGCCAATTAGAAAAGAGGAAAGTTCATAGGCGACACAAAGCACTAATAGACGAGTAATTTAACCCGAAAAATGTTAGTACACAAGAAGTAGAGCATTCAGTTTAGTCAAGTTATTTACAACAAGTTACATTAAGTGTTCAATAATGACCTTGGATTTGACTGTGGCTCTCAAATTCAAAGTTATTTCAACGTCAACTTTTGTTTTGTAAATGAAAGCACTCGTTTTGAATAAAAATAACGGGAAATTATACGCCCAAAAATGTATCAAATTCTACGATCAAGGTCACCTCTTAGAAGTCAAGTGAAGGTGAAATGTGTGGGTATAGAAAAAATTCTTAGAAATTTAGCAGGATTATTGATGAAAAAATCTTCTCTAGTCACTTTTAACAAGGGTTTAATGGTGACCTTGGATTCAACGTTGAACCTCAACTTCAAAATAATTTGAAGGTCAATTTAGATTTTAAAAAAGGAACCCCCTTCTTTGCCATTGCAATTGAGTGTTTTATATCCTAACGCTTTAAGGTACTATTATGACCTTGAAGGTAAGACTCAAGTTCAAATACAAGGCCAATATCGGAATCTCTGTTAAAAGTTGCTAAAGGTCTGGAACCTTGCTTTTTTTCATCAATAATCCTGCTAAACTTTTTGGAATTTTAATATAAATTCGGAACTAGAATTTTCCGTTTTTGTCATTGTTGATGTCAAAAACGGAGCTCTCTATTTGTAAAACAAAATTTGATCTTAAAATAAATGAAGGTGGGGTTAAGATCAAATCCAAGGTCTCCGTTGTTCAAAGTTAGTAAAGACCTGACCCCTGACCTTTTTCAAAAATACCTGTCCTGAAAAAATTCACAGTATGCAAAATAATAAGGTAGAAATATCGGACTTACATCATCGGTGTCATAATCTTCCTGGCTGTATTCACTATTTTCTTCAATATTACCATTTCCCACTACTTCAGCCTCAGGTTCAGGTTCTATAACCTGCAATTAGAAATGAAAAATTCTAATCAAAGTGTATTAATCCATCTAAAATAAATCACAGCAAAAATATCCGTCCTGGGCGTAGAATCTGGCGTATGATATTGCTCCTCGAGGTCGCCTTAAGGCAAAATGAAGAGATCTCGCCATTTTCCGTATTTCCATATTTTGTTCTAAAGGCGGAGAAAAATAATAAGCGTAAAAGTAGGATTTTGGCCACTTTGGAACTTTCGTAGCTTATCTCAAGGTCAGCAAAAATTGGAGAAAGAAGAATTTTGGAAAAACAGATTATCGTCGTCTTTGATCTGACGCTTATGAAGAAAGAAATAGGAGAAAATGTTAGGCTCGAGTATGAAAAAAATAGCAATGTTATGCTTAAAATGATCTTAAGGTTCAATAGTATTAGGCTGCATCCTGTCAAAAAAAAGTAATTTGTTTTGAAGGTCTAGGTCAAATTCAATTGCATAAGAGAGTTTATATACTGATTTTGCTTTCGTTGTTTTTTTTACAACCAACAATGAATACCCACCTGTGGCAGACTAGCTTGTTTGACGTTTTGATTGACAGCTTCTACGGACGGTTGCTGGGTCGGCGCAGAGATGGCGCTGGTGTCATTCGAATGTACTTCGCTGCTCTCTTCCATTGAATTCTGACCTTTGCCGAACAGTTTGTGGGCTTTAGCCTTCAATTCTCGGGGGTGAGGAGTGTTCTGACGGACGAACGGCGTCTGGAATTAAGAAACGAAAAATATTATACTGTAGAAATCAGAAAAGCAAACGGACAGTTTATTTTTCGCTCCATCTACCCGTAGATGGAGCCATGTGCCATTTCGTTAGATATCGTACCTATATTGTACCTATGGTTATGATTGCTTGCTCGTTCTTTTATCTCTGCAAGTATAGTGTATTTATTCATTAATTTGTGACAATTTTATGTAGACTCTAAAAATATAAAAATACAGGCTGGCCGATATGTAACTGACTGGTTTGTATCTTGAATATTTGTGAAATGATATAAAATACGTCCATTTTTTTCATCTTAATCTTTTATTGAAACTAAGACATTATCTATGAAAAATAATATCAGACAAATGTCCGTCTCGAGAAGCCACGCAAACCTGAGCTTTTGATTACATTTTCCATCACTTTTTGGTAGGTTTCGGGAGGAATATTTTCAATCGCTTACATAATATAGTTCTTCAGCTGCTATACAGTAATGACATAAGCTGGCATAAGCCCTATTTTTCAAAAATCCCAATAAAAAAAGTCAGGAGCCGTTAAATCCGGTGACCTTGGTGGCCAGTTGACCAAATCGAGAAATTAAACGTCCCGGAAATATTGTTCGCAAAATATTCATTGTTTCCCTAGATGTGAGACAAGTTGATCCGTCCTGCTGGAACGACATGTTTTGCAGGTTCAATTGTTGGATTTGAGGAGCCAGAAAGTTTTGCACCATATCACGATAGCGCTCGCCAGTGATGATTACCTGCAGCGTCTTCAAAGAAGTAAGTCCAATGACCCATCCATACCAAACACCGCACCAAACAGTGACTCGACGAGGATGTGGTGATCGTTGATGGATGGCACTAGGGATCTCGAATGCAATTCTGCTTATTAAAAAATTAGTTCATATCGAAGTGGGCTTCATCGCTCGTTATCAGTTGACGGTAAAAATCCTTATTTTGGGTATTAAGCTGCAATATTGCATGACTGCATTGTCGGCGACTTTCATGGTCACTAGGCTATATATAGTTCTTGGGTTAACTGAATTTTGTATGGCCGCAAATGCAAGTCTTTTTTAAGAATAGTGCATAATGACATGCGACGAATACCCAGTTCTTGAGAACGATATCTGGTAGACATCTTAGGGCGCTCGATATTCTCCGGAGTACGAACAGTTAGAACACGACCCGACCTTGGCAACTCTTTAACTTCACCTGTTTGTTCAAATTTCCGCACCAACTGACAAGTGGTGTTGACAATGTCAACATCGCCCTGTATAGGGCACTGATAGCAGCTGTCCCGTAATTTCGATCCGGAAAATTTTTTAGACGAAAAGCGAGATAACCGAGGTGTTTAATATGGAAACTGACCCAGGGGGGTCAGGAAATGGCGCTTCCACCATGGCAATGGAGATGGAGCCGAAGGAGCAGACCATAGAGGAGCTGAGAGCCGAATTAGAGATGGTTCGACAGGAGCTGTCAAAAAAGGACGATGATAAGAAGACCAATGAAAGATTGATGATGATCATCGAAGCCCAGCAGCGGACAATTACTGACCTAACAGTTAAATTAGACCTCCTACTGAAAACCCAGGTACCTTCCCATCTAAATATTACAAATTCTTCCCAAACACTTCCCAAAAATCCCAGTAAAGACAAAGCTGTCAATCTTAAGAGACCGTTAAATAACTCAAGCGATCTTTCCACAGACGACGATACACTCCCTGACGGTTTTACCAAGGTTAAGCCCCGTAAAACGCGACGAAACAAGACCGACACGACAGGCTTTCCTCCTCTCCCTTCACCAAAATCGCAGTCTGAAACATCTCATTCAACTGCAAGCGACTCGAATAAACAGCCTGTGCCTAATCTATCGGATACTTCCACGCCTTCGACATCTCAGGTACCAGAAGACACGACTGCACAGCCCCCACGCAAGGTACGTGTTACCCCCATCGTTCTTCGTGATGCTTCGAGATGGCGAGGCGTAAATCACAAGTTTATTTCCTTGGGCATCAAATTCGAACGCGCGGTTGCCGTCGATGCGGGAATCAGGATAATTCCCAAGTCCGAGGATGATTACCGCAGGATTATTCGTCTCTTCAGGGAGGAAGAGGTGCCCCATCACACTTTCCCTCTACCCTCCGAGAGGAACATTCATGCTGTAATCAGAGGAGTACATGCGACACTTTCGGAAATTGAGATCAAGGAAGAGTTGCAACAGAGGGGATATTCCCCCCTGCACATAATTCGCCTGAAACGCGGTGGCGGCGTGCCCATGCCTTTGGTGGTAGTCATACTGCCCAAGATAGAAAAATCTCAGCAGCTGTTCAACGAACACGAGCTGCTAGGTTTGGCTATCCGAGTCGAAGTTCAAAAGAACTCAAGACTCATCGGGCAGTGTCACCGCTGCCAAAAATATGGGCATGCGCAATCTTACTGCACTGCACCACCTAAATGTCTAAAATGTGCCTCTGACCACATGACCCACTTATGCCCTCAAACAGAACAAGAGGAACGAAAGTGCGCGAACTGTGGAGGGGGGCATCCAGCGAATAGCCGAACTTGCAGATTTGCCCCTAAGAAAAATCTGCAAGTGATAGCGCAAAGGCGCAATGTAAGTTACGCGGATGCAGCTAGGGATGCAACCCGGGCTGCCCCCTCTGTGGGATCTTCTGCGAACACGCAAAATGTGGACCTGGCAACCGCGCTAAGGTCCTTACAGCAGATCATAGGTCCTCTGATTAGCGCAACACAGGCTTTGCAGGCGATCTTTCCTGCAAATGGCTAGGTACAATCGACGACAGCCTGCATTTATCAAAATTCTTTTTTGGAATTGTTTGGGTCTAAGGGACATTCCCAAAAGACGGGAATTTCATCAAGCTCTTGTGGACGAAAGTATAGATGTGGCCTTGCTGCAGGAAACATTACTTAATCCGGGAGATCGTCTAGCTTTCCCGAATTACGATGTTATCCGGGCTGATAGATTGACTGGACGGGGTGGCGGCTTGGCAGTGCTAGTGAAACGCGGTATTGACTACCACAGAAGCACAAACGCTGACATGCAGAGCATCGAAGCGGCTTCCGTGGTGGTGAATATGACGGGAGGTGTGCCGTTAAAAATCACATCGGTGTATGTCAGGTGTGGTAACAGGCTGCAAGAGGCGGATCTGGAAGTCCTTTTAGACTACTCGGGTCCACTTATTGTGGCAGGGGACTTCAACTGCAAACATCGAGCATGGCATTCCAGGTTGAATTCCACCAGTGGGATCCGACTGTACAACCATGTGATACGAAATGGCTACCTCATACATAGTACTGAGGAGCCGACGCACCACCCATTTAATCACCTTCAGGCACCTGATGTTCTTGATTTGGCATTATCCAAAAACTGTAGCTACAGCATCACTTCTCGAATCATGTATGACATCTCAAGCGATCATCTTCCCGTCGTTTTGGAAGTGGCTAATGAGCAGATCTTGGGGGATGAAATCCCTCCAAGGAAACGCATTGATTGGGAGCTATACAAGTCGCTCCTCAAAGAGTTCCCCAATATACCGATCATAGATGATGAGAACGGTATAGATGCGGCTCAAGCAGAGTGGACAAGTTTTGTTCAGCAAACTCTGCAGCGTGCAGCTGTACTTCCCGTGCAGCGACACGGCAGACCTTTTCTGCCAGCAGACATTCGTCAGAAAATTTCTGATAAAAGAGCTGCAATTAAGCAAGCGAAAAGGTCTTGTCATCCTGATGACATTCGCAGAGCGACGAATCTTGTTCATGAAGTAAGAAATGCTCTTCATGAATTCCGCAATGAGCAATGGAACGACTTTCTGGCGGGGATGCTTGACTCAAGCATTCCTCTCTGGAAGGTGGCGAAGTCGCTCAAAAACGGAAAGCGTGAACAAATCCCACACATTCACGGTCCTGGAGGCATTGTCTTCAGGACAGAGGAGAAGGTTGAGGTTTTCGCCGATGCCATGGAAAGACAGTTCTCTCCCAACTATGATCTTGATAATGACCTCGACGAGGAGCAACACATCGTAAGATCTGTCAGGAGATATTTTAGGGCCAACGGCGTCAGTGACAGTCGCGCATTCGTTGGTGATTTTTCTTCATCAGAAGATTCTTCTTCGGAAGCTTCTTCAACCGAAGATTTGCTTAGCACATCAGCGGTATCTCCTGAGATCCCGCATTGCACACCAGCAGAGATTCAAGGTCATATTAAAGACCTTAAAGTGCGTAAAGCACCTGGGGAGGATCAAATCACTAATAAGGCGCTGAAGCTGCTTTCGCGGAAGTCCTTAACTTATCTCGTGGCAATAGTCAATGCCATGCTCAGGATCCAGTACTTCCCATCCGCGTGGAAGACCGCTGAAGTTATAATGATTCCAAAGAAGGTGGGTTCGATATTTCCCCAGGATTATCGTCCCATTAGCCTGCTGTCAGCTGCGTCTAAGCTCGCTGAAAAGGTGATTCTACGTCACCTTGAGAATTTCTCGTCAGATCACCATGTGATTCCTGACGTGCAATTCGGTTTTCGGTCTGAACATAGTACGGAGCTACAGGCGGTTAGGCTGGTGGAACGTGTAACCAGAGGATTCACCCTTAACGAAAGTACTGGCATCTTGCTTTTGGATGTCTCAAAAGCATTTGACAAGGTGTGGCACGCGGGCCTCTTGTATAAACTAATCCAAAAGGGCTTCCCTTTTTGGCTTCTAAAACTACTGAAATCCTTCCTTGAAGGTAGGAAATTTCGGATCAAAATTGACAATGTGCTGTCGACAACACGGCTGATTACAGCCGGCGTCCCTCAGGGTTCGGTCCTTGGACCTATCCTTTACTCACTGTACATCCATGACGTCCCTAGTCCCAGCAACTGTGAAGTCTATCTCTATGCTGACGATACTGCATTGGTGGCTCAGTCGTGGTCTGGTGACCTAGTCCATGACAGGCTGCAAAGTGCGGTGGAAGAAGTATTAGATTGGGCGGATCGGTGGCTAATTAAAATAAACCATTCGAAAACGCAGGCAATCTACTGTACAAAAAGACGTCGCGGCGTTCCGTCTGAAGTTTCAATGAATGGACTTCGTATACCATGGGAATCCTCCGCTAAGTATCTCGGTGTCATTCTGGACAAAGGGATGACTTGGCGGAACCATATGGAAGCGCTAAAAACTAAATTCCAAATTACGTTTCGGCAGCTTTACCCATTATTATGTAAAC